TGACGGTGGGGCTCTATTGGTATTAAATGATCTGTGTAAACTAATTTATTCTGAGCTATAGTGGATATGGATAACTGGTTTTTGCTTTAAGTTGGAATTTTTCCTCACTTTGTTTTTGAAGAGGATATGTCAGGTTATTTTTCTATCTGTGCGTAAGCTACATAGGAAGCTGACTTCACGAGCCTCTGATTTTGTATTAGCTTTATGCCCGGGGCTGCCACCAGTCTACTGGTTAGTGTACTGTAGTTCTAAGTCGGGTTGCGTCGTCACCTGGAGCAAGTAAACAGCCATTAGGCTCTACGTGATGTATATTAAGCTATGTTTAGGTCAAGTGTCCTTCTCGGGTGCATGTTGATGTAGGTGTTCTCGACCAGCATCTGAATGTAGAATGACTCATTGTCTCCGATCCCCCAGGCGAGCTTGGCCAACACACGCGAGCTTGGCCAACACACGCGAAATTTTAAACCCATATAAGGATTGGTCATGTGAAGTACCTAACTCTCCGTTGATATACGTGTTAGTAGAGTAAATGTAACCTAGACATAGACTCTCCTATTGTAATGGTGTAGAAATAAGAAAATAAGCGTGAGGTTGACCTACTCTCATCAGTGATTATTTCCCTTTCATGAAACATTTGTGTGGATTTAATATTGTATTTATTGGAATATAACGATACGTCTTGGAGTAGCAGAGTGTTTCAAGTTGTTTAATACCAGTTTCTTAATGGGAATAATGTGTTTGAAGATGATGATGATGGCAGTTTTGTATATATTAGTTGGTTATTCATCTGTGTATGGAACGTTAGTAATTGTGGACTTATGTCTTCTATAAAAATATTAAAGAAACTGTGTATACCTGTAAAATAACATACACTCACCAGAATAACATAACTTAATACATGAGTTTCATACTGTGCTCAAGGTCGGGTCTAAACTTCTATCAAGCGAAAAGTAACTGCAAAAAGTCCTCGTCCTCGACAAGTTTACACAAATATGAACAATGGTTTTATTAGAGGTGGCTCGTGGCCCGGCACCTGTGAAGCAAGTTTTTAACGCGGATAAAATTCAGACTATTATCTGAGTACTGATTTAAAGACCAGATAGATTATTAAGGGCTGGTAAAATAACCCCGAGCATCCTTACTTATAGAGTGCCACCTTATATTACAAAGAGTTGTTACATTTAGATTTTTTAAACAGATTAAACATAAAATGACAACTAGTGTTCAAGTTTGGTTCCTCGGAGAAGATAATACAATATAATACACCTACTGTAACTGTGTTTAATTATAAAAACTAACTTCTTGTATTGTGCTGTAATTTACTCTCCTAACTGGTGCGAGATTAACTTACAGACTTAGGTTATCAATTTAAATCTAAGTGCAGGTGTACAGTATATATTTGTGCTTTTGTGCTTCAGCGTAAGTCAGTTTGTTTGGTCTATTATCTTTGTTTACGAGAAATATTCATCATAAGACTCTTTCAGAATCCGGACCCACTTACTTTATTCTTTGATATCGCGACAAGAAAAGTTAAGTACTGTATAGTTTAGGTACTGAAAATACCTTATAGTAACATTATCAACCATTGTGTGCGTCACTTGTTGGTGTAGTGTTTGTGTGTGGGAAATAGCAGGTTGTTGTGTACCGAGCGGCGCCACAAACTCAAGAGACCACCTGACAATAATTGGAAATGACTTGAGAGTGTTGGGTGTAGGTTGGCGACATTGTGAGTGTATGTGGACGACAGGTGGCTGGTGATTGTCTCCCACACCTGCGGCTACATTACACTCTAAGGACTCTAGCTAAATCTTCCCTTGGGTAGATTTTATGTTGTGTGGTGTTTCTCATATGTCCTCCCCGCAGGGTATGGGAGAGGGAGGCTAACAGTACAGTATTGTCTTCCCCCGTACGAAAGTCGTCACCGATTCGAAATGAAATTAGCAGGCAGTTTCTTATCGAGAATAACAAGGGCAAGTTGATAAGGAGAGTTTACAAAGTTGATTTACTAGTGTTACGGTCCCTCATCGTCTTGGAAATTTTGGCTGGAACACTCGGTACATTAACTTCAATGACAACTTTTTTCTTTATACTTAATAAAATTGTAAAGATATATTTTATTTTATGTAGTCGTATTTTTTGTCCATATAAATATATTTTAATGTGATCAATTTTGACAAATTCCATTTATGATTATGGACCTCACATAATGTGTGAGGTTGGGCGTAGATGAGATATTACACAAAAATGTAATGGTGGTTTTACTGTAGCGGGTTTGATCAGTTTAGCCGCTGCTCATCAAAGACTTATCAGTTATCACATATAACATAAGTTTCAATATTCTGCATATTCTAAACGTGAAAAATTATTGATACGGGGTTGGTGTTCCACAGGAAAGACTCATTAAACATATAACAAATGTTTGTGTGTTTGTACAGCATTTCTGTGGTTCTATTTACTTATTCCAGTAATGACGTTCTCAAATTTATAGCGTAAAGGAAGTGTATAGTTACGGTTGGGTTTTTTTAATTGGGCATTATATTTGTTTTTTTTGTATTGTTGTTCCTGAACCTCTGTAAATACGACCGTGCTGCGCTTATATTCCAGCCTCGGGCTCCAAACTCCCTAATCACTAGTTACCCAAGAAAGGTGGAGTATCACTTGGCTGGAGATCATATGTTTAAGTATTGGCGTTTCTTATATGGCGTGGAGATATTAATAATTGGTGGTCTAGCATTAATATTTATTTATAGAGTGGTGAGGACGCCGGTGCAAAATCTCCTGTGATCCTTTGGCCGTGTAATTAATGTTTTCTGGACCAACAGGCTACGTCACCACACACACACGCACATTAACACACCCAATATATATGTCCATTATCTATGTCCTGTTTCATTTATATAGATGGTATAAACTAAACAAAAACCTCATGGCGAGAGATGGGATTGCAGGAATAAGCTAACACACACACACATTTCGTCATATCATCATATTACATACAAAGTTTACAAAGTGAATCCTAACTTCTGCATTCATATAACATTTATTACAGTGGGTCCAGTACATTAAATCACTGTATTATCCATTGTTAATGTAAATATGAATAAGGTACGGTATATCTATGACTCATAGACTATGAGACTATTGGTATTCATAGTTGAATGTAATTATGTATAGTATTCCAGTGAAACCTGATCATAAATCATATTGACATTTTTTAGACGTAGTTCAACCCATAAAGATGAGGCGTAGTGAGTTTTGTATCCATCATGGCTATGCCACTTCTTTCATCATGGGTATGCCTCTTATTTCATCATGGCTATGCCTCTTATTTCATCATGGGTATACCTCTTCTTTCATCATGGCTATGCCTCTTATTTCATCATGGGTATACCTCTTCTTTCATCATGGCTATGCCTCTTATTTCATCATGGGTATGCCTCTTATTTCATCATGGGTATGCCTCTTATTTCATCATGGCTATGCCTCTTATTTCATCATGGGTATGCCTCTTATTTCATCATGGGTATGCCTCTTATTTCATCATGGGTATGCCTCTTATTTCATCATGGGTATACCTCTTATTTCATCATGGCTATGCCTCTTATTTCATCATGGGTATGCCTCTTATTTCATCATGGGTATGCCTCTTATTTCATCATGGGTATGCCTCTTATTTCATCATGGCTATGCCTCTTATTTCATCATGGGTATGCCTCTTATCATCATGGGTATGCCTCTTATTTCATCATGGCCTCTTATTTCATCATGGGTATGCCTCTTATTTCATCATGGCTATGCCTCTTATTTCATCAAGGGTATGCCTCTTATTTCATCATGGGTATGCCTCTTATTTCATCATGGGTATGCCTCTTCTTTCATCATGGGTATGCCTCTTCTTTCATCATGGCTATGCCTCTTATTTCATCATGGCTATGCCTCTTATTTCATCATGGGTATGCCTCTTATTTCATCATGGGTATGCCTCTTATTTCATCATGGGTATACCTCTTCTTTCATCATGGGTATGCCTCTTATTTCATCATGGGTATACCTCTTCTTTCATCATGGGTATGCCTCTTCTCTCATCATGGCTATGCCTCTTATTTCATCATGGCTATGCCTCTTATTTCATCATGGCTATGCCTCTTATTTCATCATGGCTATGCCTCTTATTTCATCATGGGTATGCCTCTTATTTCATCATGGGTATACCTCTTCTTTCATCATGGGTATGCCTCTTATTTCATCATGGGTATACCTCTTCTTTCATCATGGGTATACCTCTTATTTCATCATGGGTATACCTCTTATTTCATCATGGGTATGCCTCTTATTTCATCATGGCTATGCCTCTTATTTCATCATGGGTATACCTCTTATTTCATCATGGGTATGCCTCATTTCATCATGGGTATACCTCTTATTTCATCATGGGTATGCCTCTTATTTCATCATGGGTATACCTCTTATTTCATCATGGGTATACCTCTTATTTCATCATGGGTATGCCTCTTATTTCATCATGGCTATACCTCTTCTTTCATCATGGGTATGCCACTTATTCCATTATGTGTATGCCACTTATACTAATAATAATAATAATAATAATAATAATTAACGGTTTAGTGAAAGAACTTGGCAGCCAGAAGGCTGAAAATATACAGTTGCATATTTGGGGAATGGGTTTCGAATTACAAATAATATACAAGTAACATAATTGATACAAATAAGATATATAATAACTAGATGGGGAAAAGCTCAAACTACAGTTCATTTCAACATAGTGACAGTGCAAGGAGTAGTGTTTACTGGGAGTGAATACACTGGTTTATTACAAGTTATTGATAATTTTTACAATGGTTGGGACTTATTTCATTATGTGTATGCCACGTATTTCATAATGGGTATGCCACTTTTTATTCATGGGTATACCACTTTTTTCACCATAAGCATACCACTTTTCACCAAGTGTGTATAACTTTTTTCGTCTTTTTCTTTAGGGCTTATGAGTCCTGTGGCACGGCAGGCAGTCATCAGGAAAAATGGCGATTGTAACATGACATACTCAAACCTGAAGAAGCGTCGCTCTCGCTATCTCCAGGACCTCTACACCACCCTCGTTGATGTTCAGTGGCGCTGGACACTTCTTGTCTTCTTCCTCGGTTTTATTATCAGGTGGGTACTGTGTGTCCAGTCAGTTCAGGTGGGCCAGGGGAGGGGATGTCTGGATCAGTTAGAGGTTAAGGCAGGGAATTGTGAACCAGCATCAATACTGCAAAGCTTAATAATGCAAATATTGTCAAGTCTCATGTGCTTATACATACTGTACTGTAATCATAATCAAAGGATTCATGATTACTTGGTTAGTAAGAAGTTCAGTGTATGATACATTCATTGTCACTAATTTAATTGTATTAGGAATCCATTTGAATTATTATTACTGTACTTAATTTATGAGATCCTTCACAGTGACTCTTTCTTACTCCATGCACAGCACAGTACAGTATATACAGTATTTCTACTGTAAATGTGTCACTGTGCAATAATGTTTTGTGAAATCTTAGTTGCTTGTAATGTAATTTTCTACATCAGATACATTAAAAGTAAACTGAATAAGTGCAGGAAAATTTTTACAGTATTAGACCTATAGAAATAACCAGAGAGTGTTGTGACAGCACCGAGTGTGAGCTCTTTCAAGACAAGACTTGACCAACACTGGAGCGGGTTCAGGTACATTCAGGAGCCGGTGCATGCCCAGTATTTGCCAACAGTGCGTGACAGAGACGTGACCGATCGCCCGGGCGGCTAGCGAGCCGATCTTTTGATGAAAAAGATAAATGAAAAGGAAAAGTAATCAGAGACGTGACCGAGTGCCCAAGCGGCTAACAAGCCGATCAGCGGCGAAGAGGATAAAAGTAAAGTAACTGCTTAGGTAGATCAGAAATGACCAAAGGCAGGTTAAGACAGTCAGGGTAGTATACGGAAGGACAGTACTGTATCCAGGTGGGCAAAGAAGAGACAAAAAAAGTCTTCCAGACCAAAATACATCAGAATTGTATCCTACCAAGGCAATGGTGTATGAAAGTGGTCTATAGAAAAACTTGGATTAGACACCAGGATACAGTATAGAAAGCTGAGGTAGGACTGGATGGTTAGGAGGTCTCTAGGTTAGGACTGGAGGTAAAGGAGATTCAAGGTTGGGATTGGTTGATCATAACTGGTTTACACTTTTGTGGTGGATATTGTTAATACTTTGAAAAACAGTACTGTATTGATGTTCTATTCTTTACTAACTTATAGATCCTCTAACATTATTTGTTTCCTTTTGCAGTTGGCTATGTTTTGCTTTTGTCTGGTTCATGATCATCAAGGTACATGGAGATGACCACGACCTGGTGGGTCACACGCCTTGTGTGCACAATGTCCAAACCTTCACTGCAAGCTTCCTTTTCTCAATTGAGACTCAGCACACAATAGGCTATGGTTCCAGGTAGTATGTCACAAATGAAAACTTTTATTTCACTGAATTAAATTAGGTTAATACTGTAGAAGCATCAATACTGCAAAGCTTAACAATGCAAATATTGTCAAGTCTCATGTGCTTATACATACTGTACTGTAATCATAATCAAAGGATTCATGATTACTTGGTTAGTAAGAAGTTCAGTGTATGATACATTCATTGTCACTAATTTAATTGTATTAGGAATCCATTTGAATTATTATTACTGTACTTAATTTATGAGATCCTTCACAGTGACTCTTTCTTACTCTATGCACAGCACAGTACAGTATATACAGTATATCTACTGTAAATGTGTCACTGTGCAATAATGTTTTGTGAAATCTTAGTTGCTTGTAATGTAATTTTCTACATCAGATACATTAAAAGTAAACTGAGTAAGTGCAGGAAAATTTTTACAGTATTAGACCTATAGAAATAACCTGAATTAAAAGAAAAGATGAATTTTAATGCAGAAACCATGATATCTTATTAACTTAAAATTTTGTGTTTATGGAGGAGAAATCTATCAGTGTAATTATTTAAGTTTTTAGAATTAAAAGAAAATTTACCATTGAGAAAATTAATTTGAATGCTTTTGTGAAATTTGGGTTGTTTTGTATTCAAATTTTCTTTCATCATTATGTTTAGATCAACTGCGGCTCTTCAGGTGAGAACAATAGAAGTAACAAACTAGCCTGAGATGTTTTTATTACACCATTATTATCTTAAAGCTTCCCTCTTTTGACCAGAATACAGATTCATCTCAAGCCACTTGGTCACTTGTCTTGTTCTCAGCCAGAGTGCCTGAATTGATTGTTTATTTCTTTACTTTTCTTCATTTCTTCATGGCATGAAATATATTCAAACAAAGTTTTGACCATTTGAAGTCAACTTTGAAATATGATATAGGTCTGGAATAAGTTTTTTCAAGTTATTAATTGTATGGTACTTTAGACATAAGAAAACTGCCAACAAAGCGGTACAGTACTATACAGTAGCATTATCCCAGAGTATTAGCATAAGAAATCATAACCTGTGCTCAAAAGCTTATCCAGAGGTGTTAGGATTTTCTATCTTCTGACCAAAGGGCATTGTATCATTCTGCAGGGGCAGATAAAGATTTTTCCAAGGGAAGGGTCTATGTGCACAAAAGGACATCTAATGTAGGACTGAAACAGCTCTTCAGTACAGTACTGTATATGTACAATTGCAACATTTTTGTAGCTTTTTATCCAAAAAAATATGAGAATTCACAGTACATACATATTTCTAAATCAAAGATGCCCTATACATGGTGCTACTTTGGACTTAATGAGCCTGGGGAGAAGTAGGCAGTGAAGGTGGTGGAAAGAATAGGGCAGTGATGGGTGGTGGGTAGGGCAGAGGTGAGAAGTAAGGGTTAGTAGAAGGGCAAACTAGACATAAACCCCTCTCCTCTTCCCAAAGTTAACTCTGCTATATACTGTAGAACATCCAACTATATTTTATAGTGACAGGAGCAAAAAAATTTTTTAACTGCTTGAGGTTCGAACCCAAGATCTTGCATCTTGCTGGGTGGAGCCCTTACCAATTACACCACAGTTCATCCCTCTTACTGGGTCACTGAGCAGCAATTGTCCCTTAAGTTGGAGAGTTTGAACCTCTCTTTTACCATACTTCTAATACTGTACATATAAACTGATAGCGTAGTATTCCTGAAGTGAGAACCACTGTAATAGGAACTTAGGTGAGGTCACAATGAAGTACAGTATTGATCTAGAAGTGATGACCATGGTATGTTAGGTCATGTAGCAAGCATTGGGGTTTTCACATTCTCCAGACTGTCGGAGACAGGTCAAACAAAGTCAGTCAACAGCGGGATTAGCATCTTGACAAGGGGCACTTTGGGGCCATCATAAAGACCAAGGAGACTTTTGGAGGCCATTTTTATTATGGTAAAAAATTACATTAATTGGGAGACAAAAAAGATGCTTATGTTCCTGCCTCATCAGAGGGTACACCAAATCCTTGCCTAAAGAGGCACCTTTTCACCTTAGAGAGTAACACACACACACTGAAAACAAGGCCCCCCCCCAGCTCTTAGATCATTACAGCAAATTATTTATATCCAGGTGTGTATTGTACAGGGACATAGGAAGGTAAGTATTCTTTTGATCTGTTAAAGCCAGGCTGAATTGACATTTTGAATTTCTGTTTGGCTTCCACCTCTGCAAACTGATGATTAGTTCATATTATGAGATGTCATTGGCAGGTGGCTACAAAGGAAGGGGTTTGAAATAAACATGCTGTATGAAAAGTGTACCATCTGTATTTAGACTTTATTGACTGACTGATTTGGGGTGGGGTTCACAAACCCCACCTTAAATATGCCGCTGTTTGCCGACTGTTTTAAATTAATGCAAAGTTTTTTCTTATTTCAGATTCACCACTGAGGAATGTCCAGAGGCAGTATTTTTAATGTGCATTCAAAGCATCACTGGTGTCATATTGCAGGCCTTCATGGTGGGTGTAGTCTTTGCCAAACTGACACGTCCCAAACAACGGACCAACACCATCTTGTTTTCCCGCAATGCATGTATCTGTCTGCGTGATAGTAAACTGTGTGTCATGTTCCGTGTGGGGGACATGAGGAAATCTTTCATCATCGGAGCCAGCGTCAGAGCACAAGTTAGTTTTGATATGCTCTTCACAGGTTTTCTGGTTACGTAGATATAATGTTGCTGCAGTTTCATTTTGCTTATAACCATAAATCTTGCATTAATTTTTTTTTTTAGGTTTTACGCAAGAGAACAACAGAAGAGGGAGAAGAGATCCCATATCACCAGTATGATGTGAAAGTGGGTAATGATGACGAGTCAGAAAATCTCTTCTTCATTTGGCCAATGACCATCGTTCATGCTATTGGTGAAAATTCACCTTTTTTTAATATGTCTGCTGTGGATCTCATGAATGAAAAGTAAGAAATCATTTCTATCGCATGTAAACCATTTTTGATGGGAGGGTGGCAAATGCAGACTTTTCATCCATCTGTCTTTGCTAATGTGTCAGTCTGTTTGTCAATTTGTCTCCTTTACTCCATTCTAAGGGCCGGCTCACATCAAGGCTGGACTGGACATATTCTGACGCAAATTATCCAAACGAGTGAATCAAGTTAACAACTCGTATCTCACACTGTATTCAAATCACATCTAACTCCAATCTTTCAAATTTTATCCGAGAGGGAAAACAATTTACCTCTCCCTAGAAAGACAGCGAGTCAGGTATTAGCTAAATTGAGAAAATTATAATACCCACCGCGGCAACACATATCTTCTGTCTCCAGACAATTTGCTTCAGAATATGTACGTTCTGGCCTCAGTGTGAGCGTGCTCTTAAGTGAGTGAAATAAGAGTATTAGACCTCACACAATATAATTCCTCTTTGCAGTTTGAATGTATTTAGGAGCTGATTTTAACTACAGATTATTTTCTCTTGTATATTTTGCTGTTGAATTAGCTATAGCCTGTACAGTACAGTACAACACAGTACAGTACAGTACAGTAATGCAAATAATGATAATTGTGGTTAACTGGTGACAAGTACCTGTGTAATTATGTGTAATTCAGTCCATACTTAGTTTGTATTATCCCATAAATTGGCTGACTGTGTTTAAGGACCTTTTTTTTCAGTTATGGCTATCAAGTTCAGTCCTAGAAAGAAAAAAAGTTTATTGATTAACTTAATCACTTTATATTTATATTTAATTTAAAAAAAATTCTAAATGTAGGTTAACTTAACTTGGTAGGATTCACAAATTAACTTAAGTCATTTTGAAAGTTAATTGACTCAATCCTATAAATCAAGGTCACTTACCATGATTTTAGTTTTTTATGATATCTGAGTTATCTACCACTTAATTTACACACACACAAAAAAAAATGTGGTATCTCACTTTTTAGTGTACAGTGCCATGCATCCATTAGCAGAGTAGCTTTATTTATACTGTATTTAATACTGTACTGACAAGCTCCATTTACTATCAGTAATATTTATTCAATACACTGTCGTTTGAGACCAAAATAATAAACTTAAATTTAACCATGTTTTATTTTCAGTATTGTACAGTGTTCTAATGTTTTTTGTTTCTCTTCTTTTAAGATTTGAACTAGTAGTTTACCTGGAGGGTACAACAGAGTCTACAGGCAACACCATGCAGGCTCGTTACTCATACCAGCCGTCTGATATATTGTGGGGACATAGATTTGAAAATTTGATATATTTTGATAAGGCTTCGGACAACTATATTGTTGATTTCAGGGAGTTTAACAAAACAAGAGAGGTAAATTAACCAGAGTTTACAGTGTTCTCCTAATTTTCTCTCTTCATACAATAGTACAAATTAATTTTAGTCAAAAGAGTTCAAGGCCAGCAGTAAAACACCATTTTATAAAAAATCAGTTACAGTGCTGATACTTTTGTTTAGTCTGGAGTAATGTTTGCCCTTGAGCTGAAAACTGGTGAATAACCTTTGATCAACATGTTAGCCACTTGGACGGTTGGTCACGTCACTGTCATGCACTGTTGACAAGTACTAGACATGTACTGACTATAGAAAGTAACTGAACCTGCACCAGTGTTGGTCAAGTCTGGTCTTAAATGAGTTACACAGGGTGCCATTGCAACATAAAGCTCACTCCAAAAATGTTAGCTTGGACAATTTTCTGAAATTGTGGCTTCTTTAACCTGAGGCAAGCATCTGCTAATTCCAGGTTATGAACACTCGACAGAATAATATCCTCTGAGGTGCTTATTTATTTCTATTAAATCGCCCCTTGCCTGACAATAGTATAAGCGAGGCAACTGAGTCATTCTAATCTCTGGGTAACTGAGGTGCTGGAGTGCAGGCACTAGTCTGGTAACCCTGTTTTGGGCATTCTCAATCAACTGACAGGCTCTTGCATATCTTGAAGACCAGGCAGGATGACAGTATACTCCAAACAGGGAAGCACTTCACTTTTAAAGAGCGTTATGAGGGACAGGCCATCTATATATGTGAATTATCTTTTTATAAGTCCTCATAGTTTATTTGTTTGATTTATCTTTGTCTTACAGTGGTCCAAGAACTTCAGTTTGTTGCCAACATACACACCCAGATCCTTTCCACGTTTGGGTTCAGTTATTGAGGTTTCTTTATCACATTGTGACATGCCTCCTTATTATTAGTACAGTACCACTATGATGCATCCTTTTGCATTTGTAATGTGGGATCATAACAGCCACTACTCTGACCACTCCTGTAATGCTTCACAGTCCATTTGGTTCTTAATTTCCCCCAAATAACTTAGTGTCATCCACAAACATTTATGTAGAAAGAATGAATAGCATATGGCATATCATTATGAAGTAAACAAACAACAACAGTCTCAGTACACTGCCCTGTAACTCTTCATGCTTAAGATTTTTTTTTTATATATCACAGTCAAGTATAAGCAAACTGTCTTCACTTTCATTGTTATTTTGTTCAATTGTGACCCAGTTTCAATAAATACTTTTGTGTTGAAATACACTTAATAAGCAGTGCATATAATTAGTTATGGTACAATAATAATTACTTTTTCTCACCACACTTTTGATCCTCCTATGAATGGTGGATCACACACACAGTCAGTCATTAAATAAGTCTTTATTTATACCTATAGTGTCACCAGTTTTGTTTGCCGTTATACCCAAGCACTCCTCTGCCTGTGTTGCTTCCTTTATGGTCTTGTTTAAACTCTTTTCATATTTTTTTCTCTTAAATATAAAATACTATACAGTAGACAAATTACAGTACTTAATTTGTTCTTCAGTAAAGCTAAAATTAAATAGAAATATATTAATTTTCAGATTCCAACCCCTCTCTGTAGTGCTAGAGACCTAGAGGAATTTAAACGACAGAGCACTGATCCTCTCCTGTGCTACACACCATCCAACTCTGATCAGATTGTGTGCTTGGAACCTGAGATGCTTTCTACCCAGGAAACCCAGGCAGGAAACTGAAGATATGCACATGATGAAGTTTATGCAAGTTTAGGAAGAAGGTTGTGCATTTATTTCTCATGATAATTAAAGTGGAATTTATGGAAAATTTTGTAAAGGTCTGCATTGTGCAGTCTCCAGTCTGTGATAATACCTTATGCTTGAATATAAATCATAAAGAATTATTAATGCTAAAAGCTATACCATACTCAAACATGTGTTAGCTCCAGATACAAAATTTAAAACTTATTTTAAGGCTTAAAGTTTGTCCTTAGTGATTTACAAATTATCCCATTGTACTTTACTGTACTATACTGTACTGTACTGTACTGTATAAACTTTTTATTAGCAGTAATTAAAATATAATGTTTTTATTCTGGCTAGTAAATTATAAAAGCCAAATTCTCCTCAGGGGTAAATTTAGATGTTGGAGCACTTTCTAAGTTGGCTCTTGGTAATGAAAATCCGATAATTATTCTGGATTCTACAGATTTCATTTTTAGTGATTCTAATGGTTTATGGATCATAATTAAAATTTTAAAATAAGTATGAAGCAGTGTAAAATGCAGTTTTGTAAAGCCCTCACTGTATTCCTCAACAGAAATATCATCATTTCAGTCAAGTTAAGGTGTACATGTAAGACTTATGGTCAGTCACTTAGGTAATCATGATCATCAACACTACAGCCCAGGATGCAACAGGAATATCAGAAACATTTGTTAACTTTTGCATGCTAGTTTAGATGTTACATAAGTAAACATTTGTAAGCTGTATTTATACTGTATGGGGTATGATAATCACGACAGGAGGTGGTTGTCACTAGTGGGGATATATATGATTGCATATGTGGAAGAGAAAAGCAGAGTAATAAAGAAAAATAGATGGATGAAAAATATTTATCTATTAAGAATGAAGTGATGTTGAATTTACAGTGTGGCCAACTACCAAATGAATCTGCAGTTTGAGTGTAGCCAAAGAGCTATGAGTGGCACAGAGGTTTCCAACCAGAGAACCATCTAGTATAGGGTGTGAAATAAAAGGTGTCATGTCACATTTTTTGGCAGAAGACCCACCTAGTGTAAATAAAATGCTAAACTGTAGTATATAGCAGCATACTGTAATTATTTGACCATCACTGCTCATCACTGCATATATTTTGTTGGTGTTCATTGTTCTCTGCCATTTTTAGCTCCAATAAGCACAAAAGTGATTTACCAATATCCTTCTTTTTTGCCCAATGTTTAGTAAACCATGTGTCTGTTCTGCGAGTGATTACTCTTGTTTTATTTGTATTTCTGTCTTATTTTTTTTTGTGTGTTAGAGATTGTTCACTATTGTTTTTGTGGTGTTATGTTTTTATTGTACTTGTGGTCTTGGTATGTCATTCAGGTCCGGTGTGCTCTAAAAACCTTTTATTTATTTATCCTCTTTGCCATTTGTTAGCTTACTAGCCAGGCTGTTCTCTGTTATCCACTGTGGTCAAGTACTGGGCATGTACTGACTCTTGAATATATCTGAACATGTGGCAGTGTTGGTCAAGTCTGGTCTTAAATGACCCCACACTCAGTGCTATCTCAACATTCTCTAGGCATTTGTTTCAAGAGTTCACAATTCTTAAACTTAAAGTTAGGTCTTGGCAGTTTTTTGTATTACATGTGGCTTCTTTAATTTGAGGCTGTGACCCCTGGTGGGGTGGCCATCTGCTATCTCATAAACAAAATTAAAAGACTAGTTCTCCTTCTTTATCTTCTCTCTCTTCTTTTTCTCTTTTTTTTCATAAATGCTGAAAGCATCAGATGAGCTAGGTATCTCACTGGTGACTAAATTGACTTGTGCGATCATGATGGAATGTACTGTTTCAGACAACTGACAGAAGAGTACTGTATTATCATCATTATTTACAAGATGCACTTGAACACAGGACCTACAGTAGCCTGAAGCTGTTTAGATCTGATCTTGAAAGTTATGGAAAGAATGATCAAGAAATTGATAAGGGAGAGAATGGACATTAATGAAATGCAGTTTCGGTTTATGCCAGGTAGGGGCACTACAAAGGGAAGATTTACGGCAAATAAGGAAGGTGAGGGCATTGCACGTTGTATTTGTAGACTTAAGAGAAGGTATTTGACAGTAAAGTGGGTCAAGAAGCATCTTGTTTGAGGGGTTATGTCATTATATCAGGGCTCAAAAACTACTTTGAGAGTAAATATTAAGGAATTGGAGGTGAAAATAGGGGTTCATCGGGGATCTGTCTTGAGCCTGCTTCTGTTTATCATGGTGCTGGAGACAATATCACAGGACTTTAGTACTGATCTGCCCTGGGAGTAGTTGTTTGCTAATGACTTAGTGCTTTGAGCAGATTGCACTAAAGAGGGAGCAGAGAAATTTAAGAAATGGAAGGATGAAATGGTCAAAGTGGTGTGAGACCCTTGGTAGACAGTGGAATAATGGCCATGTACTATCTATTAGAAATGTGTTTGTAACAAATCAGTAATGTGCATTGAGTGTAGAAGGTATGTACGCAATAGGTGCGGTGGTGTAAAAAGCTGACTATAGGATAGGGTCTGTATGTGTAGGCAATCATGTGGCCTTAGCAAGGCTGGAAAAAGTTCAGCATTGGGGATATGTTCCTGGACTGTGTCAATGATTTCTATTACTTGGGTGACATGATCAGTGCTGGAGGGGTTGCTGAGGCTAGCTCAGTTGTAAGAGTCAAAGTGGATGGGTGAAGTTTAGAAAGCTGTTGCTTTTATTGATAATAAGAGGGCCTCCCCTCTGTGTGAACAAAAGGATGTATGCAGCTGGTGTGAGAAGTATGATGAGGTACGACAGTCAAACACATTTGGTAAAACTTTCCCTGGAGGGAAGATTTGTATGGGTAAAGGTCTTTGATTGCTAATATCCTTGTGAGTGAGTGCAATGCAGTACAGTACAGTATATTATTTGTAAAATTAACCTGCTGATACAAACTCAAATCAGATAATGTACATGTATGTGACCCCATTCTTGATTTTGTTCTGGATGCTGTATGGTGTCACTTTAAATATACTCTTGAAGAAAGAATGAATTTATATTGCAATAGATTTGGAGTACAGTGGTCCCTCGGTTAACGAGCGCCTCGGTTAACGAGATTTCGGTTAACGATTTACCTTCCATAAGATTCTTAACTTCGGTTAACGAGCAATCCCTCGATTAACGAGTTTTTTACAAGCCGACCTCAACATGTTTTCGCTTGCATTTGGCAGTCCACCAGCTGTAGTATTAGTCCGCCAATACAGTTATCGGTTTTAGGGCTTAAATTCCTTACTATGTTAGTAAATATCAAGAAGTTTATACTATTCAATAATTTTAAAAGTTTAATATTAAATTTTTTAGTCATTTTAACAATTATTGAACATAATTGAAGGTAAGGAAACTAGTTTCATGCATGCCATCCAGCCCGGCAACACACCAAACAGGCGCCAGTCTCTGTCTTTTCAGTGGAGGTAACATCTTGCTTGAGACTCTCTTCAACTAAATGCTTTTTTTCTGTATTTGCAAGCAAATTATTGTCATTTTGAAATTTATTTTACATATTGACAATATATAATGCAGTGCAGTGTTGATTTAAAGAGAATAATCTTGAATTACACCAAGAGAACTAAAATTTTATGGGTGAAATGGCGCCATGGGGCGACTTCTCTTCCACCCCAATGCCTCTCTTCTCCCTTCTTCTCCACCCCCATTCTAATTCCCATCATCATCATCGTCATCCAGGAGCCTTCTACATACACATCTCAAAGTAAGTGTACTTTTCTACCTTTTTTGTTGAATTTAGGCAATTTTCAGTGAGCTGGAACCAATTACCCAAAAACCCACTGAAACAATGGTTTCGGTTAACGAGTTTTTCGGTTAACGAGCAACCTGCTGGGACGGATTGTGCTCGTTAACCGAGGGACCACTGTACATATATAGTTATTGATATTTGCATCCAAGATATTGGTTCATTACAGATTCTCATAAAAATATTAGATCACCAAATATTACCTGGAAATATTCATCTCCTCATTAACTCGCTTGTTCGAGAACACTTGAAAATCACATGCAGTGACTTGAACTGGGGAGCTCTCACACCTGATGTTTTCTAAAAATTTTCCTTCCTGGTATAATGATGAATAATTGTAAATCTAATGCCATTTTGTGGTCTCCATAAAATTGGTACTGTACTGTAGTTACTCTTATGTGTAGAATCATTGTAAGATATAATCATATAATTATATCAAGCACTTTAAATACATAATTTATTTTTAGTCTTAATAAAGAGTGCAGACAATGAAAATTGGTTTATAAAAGATAATCATAAAGTAACTTCAAATATACAAACTCTTGGTATTCTCATGACGTGAATACTTTGTTCAAATTTTTTTAAATTTGTTAGTGTCCTCATTTATAATTTCATGTTGTCACTGAAGTTTTAATAGAACTGTGTGTTGTGTTTACCCTTTGACTTGCCTCTACACGCAAATGTGTCTAGTGTGTTTTGATAAATTCTTATGTTTTATTTTCTGAATTGTTAAGTATCTTATCTGAAATGTTATGTTTTATCACTTCCCTAAAGATGGGAAATAAGTACCGTATGCAAAGTCAAAATGTATATTTTTCTTAATAGAGAGTTATGTTAATGTTTCATATCTTCCTTGTTGTATTGAAGGGAACAGTACAGAGAATGCTTGCTTATTTATTTTATCATATAAGTAAATGATTTTAAACTTAATATGTTTTTGAGTTCCTTGTACTTTACACTTTCTTTTAAAAGAATGTTGTAATATTGGATCACTACTTGAGAATTAGGAATTACAAGTAACTTTCCTGTATTCTCTTCACCCTTGATTGGTCTGTTAGCTGCTTGTACGGTCGGTCACGTCTCTGTTATACACTCTTGGCAAGTGCTGGGCATGTATTGGCTCCAGAATGTATCTGTACCTGCCCCAGTGTTGGTCAAGTTGGTCATAAATGAGCTCACACTCTATGGCAGATTGTTCCAAGCATTCAGAACTCTTATCCTAAAAAGTATGCCCTGACAATTTTTTTAATGTGACCACTAGATCCAGGCATTAACACTTAACTGAGTAGTGTCTTCTGAGGTGCTTATTGACTTCTATTATGTTACCTTTTGCCTGCCTATAGTATAAGTTAGGCAACTGCATGTGTACTTTTAGTCTCTCTGGGTACCTGAAGTGCTCTAGTCCTGGTGGCCCTTCCTTAGATATTCTCAGATAACTAACAGTAACGGTCACTAGCCTTAACCTTTAATGGGGCAGGCAACTGCTAGTTCCTCTTGAACTAATCGTATTCCTAATACGTACCTTCTTTGTATGAGGCGGCAATTCTCAGACTATGGATAGGGCTTTGCAATGTGTATAAGGAGCAACCTTCCTTATCCTACCATAAACACCCTGAAAAGAAGATGACATTGAAGAGGCTCTGGCATACCCTTGGCCAGTTTTCTAGCACCGAGAAATTGCATCTTTTAGAAATACTATACAATATAGACAAGCAAAATTCAGGCAAATGGTAAAGTGTTATGATCAGCAAGCAACCTAGAATTCAATTTGCACTCTGATGACAATGCCCTAGATTCGATGATGAAATGTTGCTAAACCTCCATAGAACACGTTGAAATAGATTCAGAATATTTCTGGATTATCAAAGTCAATAATGTTGAACAAAATTGCCTAATTTATACTACAAAAAGGTCTGTGAGCGATTTAATAGAGGTTTATAAGCACAACCACCAGTTAAATACACTATTAGTACAGAAAACTCAAGACTAACAAAAATATATTTAAATAAATACAAGCAATAGCTCGAGCATGCCCAGCACTTGGTAACAGTTACCAAATTGGCTAACTAGCTTGTGTTTGGTCATTATGAACAAGTATGAGAGAGAGGTTAAGCGCACTAAATTGACAGACACGAGAGGCAGTCATTACTCCAGCGATACACACGCGGCAACTGAGACAGACAAGGGTGGGATGGCGGGTTGGTGCATTTGGCTGGCTTGCAGCCCTTGAAAGTTTACTGTAAGGTAGCGGGTGGGTCGTGTTGCGTCTCTGTAACAAAGCATGTTTGGCATTCGGGCCTTCGATGTAGAGCGGCAGAAATTGGACAGTGATTACATAAGATCGTCAAGATCGTCTTAGTGATGTGAAAGTATAAATCGATGTAGGACTTTTAATGCTAGACGCGATTGTATTTTTGAAAACTCAATTTCCACCGAGTTGGAGGTACAGCCAAGGTCAGAGGCCTATAACCACAAAATCACTGCCACATGACAAAGCTTTTATTTTTTTTTTTTTAAGGAGTAGTGGTCACGGCTGTGATAAAGGCCAACCAGGGAGTGTAGTACTGTGATTTTAGGTAAACCAGTTCATAGTGTCATCAGTGACCGCAGAAAAGTGAATACATATTGGCAATCAAGCTGGTAAGGACAACTGCCAGCCTATTCGTGTCATAGGTGCCACAGAGACTTTAAATTTTATTTTGTTTGTGTGCTTTCTCAAGGACTGAAACTGTGTTTATAATACACCACTCACAGGGAGATACAGTGTACACAGTGATAGTTCATAGTGTCATCAGTGACCGCTGAAGTTGTAAATAACTTAAAGTGAGCGCTCACTAGCAAGCAAGCTGGAAAGGCACCGTGCCAGCTGAAACCAAGTCGTGTTATAGGTGCCACAGAGACTTTA